ATTTATATATTCTTTATTTTGAGAGTTTCTCTTTGGTCTTAAAAAATTGTTTCTATTTCTTGGTTAAATTTCTAATTTTGTTCCTGAATTTTTTTCCAAGTTTCATTTAGTTTTCTATCTGTATTTTTTTGTAATTCCTTTAACCTTTAAAATAAGATTATTCTGAATTATTTGTCAATCATTTTATAGATCTTCAGTTTTTCTGAATCCATTACTGAAGGTTTTTTGCTCTTTTTTGGTGGTGTCATATTTTCCTGAGTTTTCACAAGTCTTGCATTTTTATGTTGATGTCTGCACATTGAGCTTTTGCAGGTGTTTTTGACAGTGTTAGGCCTTTACTGCTTAATATTAGAACTTAATCACTGGTCTGCTCTTGCTTCTCAGTCTGGGCAAGACTTATAGTGAGAACTGGAAATTAAATGGTGCACTGGAAATAAATCACTGCCCTGTTGTCTTCCAGTCTGTAGAAGACTTATAGTGAGCCCTGTAACTTCAACACTGCTCCAGAACTATGTTGCTGCCCTGCCATTGTTCTTCAGTTACAAAAACTATTAATAGAAATAGTTTGTATTTTTAAGTGAGCACCAGAACTTAAATGCCAAACATGTAGATGTTTCCAGGTCAGGAGAAGGCTTCACATGAATATGTGGACTTTGTGGGAGATCCAGCCAGGAATTTGGTCCTTCCTGTGTATTGTGTCTTCTTCAGGATTGTGGGCCATCCACTTTACTCAATGTGATATCTTCACTAATTGGAGCACAGAACACCCACAAAAATTCACATGCCAGTCAATGTAATTAGAACCTTCCCTTTTTGACCACAGTTCATCCCAGGTGGTTCAGTCCTCCCAGCAATTTAAATGTTCCATGAGACAGGACTGGAGTGAGCTTCCTGTGAAGATTCTATAACCAGCTGGGAGATTGAACATTCACCTCCAATTTCCTCCTCCCACCCTGGGAACCATGTGTCTAGGGAAATTCTGTGAGTGGTGTTAGGTCTGCTTTAAAGTGATTATTCATCTTACCAGTATCAGGTTTTCTTAATTCTGTGTCTCCTAGAAGTTTCTCCACTTCTCCCTTGAATTTTGGTGAATTCAGGGTAGTATTCTTGTCTTTGAATAATTTCTAGTTGTATTTTTTTTTCCAGGGGAAGCGATGCTGGGAGATCTTCTATTCTGCCATCTTACTTACATCACTCTGTGATTTTCCTGGTTATTTATCTTTTAGGTTTCTTTGTGATTGTTGCAGTTTCTGTGCTTGCTTCTCATGCTGGTTGGATTATTATTAATTTTTGAATGGGACCTTCTAAATAGTAAAGTGATTAGTGGAATGTATATGTGGGGTAGATTGATGGAGGACGAGATTTTGTGGGAAAATTGATAGATTCTGTCCAGGCTTGGTGTCATATTATTAAATCTTTTTTTGCTGTTGTTAAAGAAGCTATTGCAACTCACACATGTGTCTTTTGTCTGTTGCAGTTTGGCACTATCTTCCTCCCTCTATTTTTAGCTGTTTTTACTGTCAGCATCCCTAACTTCTATTAGGAATCTCTGTTTCAAGCAATAGAAATGGTCCATCAGTGTAGTTTCTTCTTCAACTCTTCTTTCTTAGCACCCTAAATATGATTACCACTATAAAGGCATATTAGGCATGCCTTTCAGTGATGACACTTTGGAGGAAAACCTGTGTACTGTTATAGGTTCAAGACAGCATGACTATTATCTCTTAGCATTCTTCAAAGCCTTGTGCCAGATTTCATGACAGTACTTTTAGTATCAGGGGGCTATGGAAATATTCTTACTTTTTTTCTTTTGTTTCTGGGGGTTTTATAGGAAAAATGAGGGCAAAGGGGAGCTTTATTCTGTCATCTTCTTAAGGATTTAAAAATAGAAAATAACCAGAGATTTTGTAAGATTACGATATGAGTTTCTGACTTTGAGTACTTTGGAGATTACTAAGAACATAGTTTAAATACTTATAGTAACCATCTGTTTTTAGAAAAAAACCATAATGCTCTAGATCTCCAAAGTGATCTGGTGAGGAATAAACATATATACTATGTAATCCAAAATTACTTTTCCATCGTCCTAGATCAGAGAGAGATACATTGGTGGGTAAATGATCATATTTTCCAAGGAAATATACCAGTTATTGGCCCTTAAATTGCACCCATATATTAGAATTAATCCTTTTCTAAAGACAGATAATTTTCTTGTAGTACTAGCTGAAGATTTGTCCTTCAAACATGAATATAGAAGTCTTAAACTATCTGCAAATATTTTGAAATTTTGAAAATTATTGTAAATATCTAGATTTCTAGCTTCTTTGGGGAATTTAGAACACCTGAGAATATCTGTCATGCATTTGTAGTGGTAAGAATAATGGTGTTTTTTTTTTTTTTAAATAAAACAGGTACTCTCCATTTCACCTTGCTCTTTATGCCATCCCTGTCATCACCAGGCTCATTACACTCATATTACATACTCAGTCTCAGTAGATATTTGAGTTTATTAGTTGGAGAACAGATTTCGGAAACTAAAAGAATCAATTCATTCCAGGCTTTTATATTTAATAACTATGTGGCCTTCCACAATATGCATAATATCAATAAGTTCTATTTCCGTCATCTGTTAAATGGAGATAAAATACTTATTTTCTTCAATTATTATAATGATTAAATGAGATAATACTTCAAAAGTACTTAGTATAAAAGGTGGCATATAGTAGCTATTTTGTATGAATTTGAAATTATTTAACATATTTGTATCCAATTGAATAATTAGCATGTTAAATTGCAAAGTGAATAAGGTTAGATGATTAGATGACTGGGAGGTAAAATATCTCTAATTAGTACTATGTACTATACTTCTGCCTCGAACAAAATGTTAGGGTTTTTGTTGTTTTTTACTGTATGTACTTTTTTTACTTTTTCAGCTTCTATCTTAGAAGCAGCTGGTACACATGCAGATTTGTTACAAAAGTGTATTGTGTGATGCTGAAGTCTGGGGTATGACTGAATGCGTCACCCAGGTAGCATAATACCCAAGAGATCATTTTACTCCTGCTTCCTCCCCCTTTTAGTATTCCACAGTGTCTATGGTTCCCATCTTTATGTCCATGTGTACCCAATGTTTATCTCCCACATATAAGGGAAGAGATGCAGTATTTGGTTTTCTGTTTCTGCATTAGCCCCTCAGGATAATGGCCTCCAGCTGCATCCATGTTGCAGCCGGAGACATGATTTTGTTCTTTTTAATGGTTATATATTATTCCATGGTATATATGTACAACATTTTCTATATCCAGTTCACCATTGATGAGCACCTACTGTTGATTCTGTGTCTTTGCTATTATGAATGGCACTGTGGTGAACGTATGGATGCATGTGTCCATTTGGTAGAACAATTTATTTTCCTTTGGGTATATAGCCAGGAATGGATTGCTGAGTCAAATGATATTTCAACTCTTTCTTTGAGAAATTTCCAAACTGCTCTCCAAGTGTTTAGACTAGTTTACATTCCCACCAACAGTGTATACGTGTCCCCTTTTCTCCACAGACTTGCTATCTGTTTTTATGTTTTATTTTTTAGTAATAGCCATTCTGAGCCAGGTGTGGTGGCTCATACCTGTAATCCCAGCACTTTGGGAGGCCAAGGTGGGTGGATCACTTGAGGTCAGGAGTTCAAAACCAGCCAGGCCAAAGGTGAAATCCTGTCTCTACTAAAAAAGAACACACAAAAAATCTAGCCGGGCGAGGTGGCGTGTGCCTGTAATCCCAGCTACTCCAGAGGCTGAGACAGGAGAATCACTTGAACCTGGAGGTGGAGGTTGCAGTGAGCCAAGATCGTGCCACTGCACTCCAGCCTGGGTGACAGAGTGAGACTCCGTCTCAAAATAATAAAAATAGGCATTCTGACTGGTGTGAGATGGTATCTCATTGTGGTTTTAAATTGCATTTCTCTGATGATTTGTGGTGTGGAGCATTTGTTCATATGTTTCTTGGCCACTCGTATATCTTCTTTTGAGACGTTTCTGTTTATGTCCTTTGCCCCACTTTATAGTGGAGTTATTTGTTTTTTGCTTGTTGGTTTAAGTTCCTTATAGATTCTAGACCTTTGTTAGATGCATAGTTCATGAATATTTTTCTTTTATTCTGTAGGTTGTCTGCTCTGTTGGTAGTTCCTTTTGCTGTGCAAAAGATTTTTAGTTTAACTAGATCCCATTTGTCAATTTCTGTTTTTGTTGCAATTGCTTTTGAAGACATAGCCATACATTCTTTGCCAAGGCTGATATTGAGAAGGGTATTTACTAGGTTTTCTTCTAGGATTGTTATAGTTTGAAGTCTTACATTTAAATCTTTAATCCTTCTTGATCAAATTTTGTATATGGTAAAAAGCAGGGGTCCAATTTCGTTCTTCTGCATATGGCTTGCCAGCTATCCCAGCATCATTTATTGAGTAGGGAGTCCCTACTGCTTATTTTTTCTGGGTTTCTCGAAGATCAGATGATTGTAGGTATGTGACTTTATTTCTGGGTTCTCTACTCTGTTCTGTTGGTCTATGTGCCTGTTTTCGTACCAGTACAATGCTCTTTTGGTTACCGTAGCCCTGTAAAATAGTTTCAAGTCAGGTAGTATGATGCCTTCAGCTTTGTTCTTTTTGCTTAGGATGGCTTTGGCTATTAGGCTTCTTTTTTTGCTTCACATGAATTTTAGAATAGCTTCTCCTAATTCTGTTAAAAATGACATTGGTAGTTTGATAGGACTCCATTGAACCAGTAAATTGCTTTGGACAGTATGGCCATTTAATGACATTGATTCTCTCAATCCATGAGCAGGGACTGTTTTTTCATTTATTTGTGCCATTTCTGATTTCTTTCAGCAGTGTTTTTGCAGTTCTCCTTGTAGAGATCTTTCACCTTCTTGGTTACATGCATTCCTAGGTGTTTCACAAAATGTTAGTTTTTTAAATCAATGACTTTGTCAATCTGTTATTCTTACAGTTACAAATGAAGCAGCCTCAGAACTTCCAAATACAGCAGAAAATCTTCCAGCAGTGTACCCATCAATTAGCGACCTAATAATTCGATTGGATTTAAACAAAGTGGTCGGTAAGTACAGATTTATTTTTGGATACAGTAGAACACAATCTAAGAATTAAAATATTTCAACTGTATAGTTCTGTTAAAAAACAGGAAATTCAAAGAAGGAGTAGTCTTTCTCAACTTAATAAGTTCATTCTACTCAATCTATCTACATGTCAATTAAGTGTATATTTAAATTACGTGTTTTTACTCCACTAGACAACATTAATTTTGTAATGTTTCATATATTTCCCTTTACCTACTCATGAAACAAAATACATATAGGCTTTCCACTACTGTGAATTTTCATAACATAAACTAGATGCTATATGAACAGCTCCTTGAGGACATAGTTGTCATTTCTTATACCATCGTTTGTATAGCAAGATGGAAAGACAAATGGAACTAGTACCATATAGACAATATGGCTGCCTTGTGATGTGCTTATTATTAAATTCGCAATATCAAATGGTGAAAAAGATCGTCAGAATGGGGAAGAAGCTAGAATATGTGCGAAACTAGTGGTAGTGTGGTTAAGCGACTATTTTCTAATAAGATATAACCAAAGTGTTCTCTGGTAGCTTTCAAATCACTCCTTAAAGGCAACAGGCAAACATGAGCAAAATGGCAAACTGAAAACATCCAAACTCTCATTCCCTGACAGAAACATTGAAAAAAATTAGAATAATCTATCAGAACCAACTTTGTCAGAGCTCCAGAAAATAGTCACAGATTTTTAGCATCCAAGAGAATACCTAATTAAGAAAAGTCTATCTTCAAAATGGTAAGAAAGTTTTGTGGAACTGTCAAAAGAGTGCTCCAGCAAAAGCCAATATGAAAATCTCCTGGCAATCATGGCATTAATAGTAGACCTGCCCTATTAAAACTTCTAGGCTGGGCACGGTGGTTCACCCCTGTAATCCAAGCACTCTGGGAGGCCGAGGCAGGTGGATCACGAGGTCAGGAGATCAAGACCATCCTGGCCAAAATGGTGAAATATCGTCTCTACTAAAATATAAAAAATTAGCTTGGCGTGGTGACACATGCCTATAGTCCCAGTTACTCGGGAGACTGAGGCAGGGGAATTGCTTGAACCTAGGAGGAGGAGGTTTCAGTGAGCTGAGATCACGCCACTGCACTCCAGCCTGGTGACAGAACAAGACACTGTCAAAAAAACAAACAGACAAAAAACCTTCTAAAGGGAATTCTTCAGGTTAAAATGAAAGAATGCTATACAGTAACTTCAACCACATGAGGAAATAAAGATCTCTGGCAAAGATAAGTCCATTGGCAAATATAAAAGCCATCATTATTATAATTTTGGCTTGTAACTCTATTCTTTGTATCTATAATACTCAAAAGACAAATATACAAAAATAATTACAAATTTATGTTATGGACACACAATGTATAAAGACATGATTTGTGATGTTAATAACAAGGATAAGTTAGAGGGTGCTGCATAAGAGTATACTTTTTGGATGGATTGAAGATGAGTTGGTATCAATTCAAATTAAATTATTATAACTTTAAGACGTTATATATTATTTACTTGGTAATCACAAAGAAAATATCTATGATGCATGCATGAAGAAAAGAGAAAGGAATCAAAACATGTCCCTACAAAAAGTCAACTAAACACAAAAAAGATGGAATTAGAGGAAATGAAGGGCAAAAAGTATAACGTACAAAAAATAGGTATCAAAATGGCAGAAATGTCTTTCCTTATCAGTAATTATTTTAAATGTAAATTGACAAAACTCTTCATTCAAAAGGCAAAAATTTACGAATGGATTTTTTTTTAAATGATCAACTATATGCTGCTAACAAAAGATGCACTTTAGATGAACAAAAATGACAAAACTTTAGCTAGATTGACTATGGAAAAATAATACTCAAATTGCTAAAAATCAAAACAGAAAGTGGGAACATTACAACCAATTTTAAAAGAATAAAAAGCATTGTAAGACAACACTGTGAACAACTGTACACGAAAAACTGGATAACCTAAAGGAAATGAACAAATTGATAGAAATACACAATCTACCAGAACTGACTTATGAAGAAATCTCTAAATAGACCCCTAATTAAGATGAATACTGAATCCTAATTAAAATTTTCCAACAAAGAAAAATCCAGGACCAGACGACATTATGGGTGAATATTACCAAATATTTGAAGAAGAATTAAAACTAATCCTCAAGTTCTTTCAGAAAACTGAAGAGGAGGGAATACTTCCTAACTCATTCTATGAGGACAGCATTATCCTGATACTAAAGTCAGAAATGCTATAAGAAAGCAAATGACAGACCAATATCCCTTATGAATAATGATGCAAAATCCTCAACAAAATATTAGCAAATAAAATTTAGCAGCATATAAAAATTTACAATGTGAATTTATGAGTTTTACTTCTCAAATGCAAGGATAATTCAATAGACAAAAGTCAATTAGTGTGATATACCATGTAGCAGAATTAACAACAAAAAACCCCACTGGATCCTCTCAGTTGATGCAGAGAAAGCATTTGACCAAATTCAATAGACTTTCATGTAAAAACAGTAAACAAGCTAGGAATAGAGCCTTACCACATCATGATGAAAAGCCAAATACAAAAAATCCACAACTGACATGACATTTAATGGTGAAAGATTGAAAATGTTTTCCTTAAGATCAGGAGCAATACAAGGACACCTGTTTAGATAACTTCTAGTCAAAATAGTATTCAAAATCTATCTGGACCAGTTAGAATAGAAGATAGGTAGATGATAGATAGATAACATCCAAACTGGAAAGGAAGAAATAAAATTATCTGCCAAGAGGTGACATTATCTTATATGAAGAAAACCCTAATGATTCCACGAAACAACTGTTAGATCTAATAAACAAATTTAGCAAAGTTGCAGGATACAAAATGAACACACAAAAATTGGTTACATATCTATGCACTGGTAGTGAGCTATCTAAAAAGAATTAAGAAAAAAGTTCCATTTATAATGGCATCAAAAGAACAAAATATTTCGGAGTAAATTTAACCAAGAAGGCAAAAGACTTGTATACTGAAAACTACCATATAATGCTGAAAACAATAAAGAAGATATAAATAAATGGAAAGATATCTCATGTTCATGGATTAGAAGACAACTTTTTTTTTTTTTTTTTTGAGATTGAGTCTTGCTCTGTCGCCCAGGCTGTGCAGTGGCGCAATCTCGGCTCACTGCAACCTCTGCCTCCCAGGTTCAAGCGATTCTCCTGACTTAGTCTCCCTGGTAGCTGGGATTATGGGCACATGCCACCACGCTCAGCTAATTTTTGTATGTTTAGTAGAAACGAGGTTTCACTATGTTGTCCAGACTGGTCTCAATGTTGTCCAGACTGGTCTCAAACTCCTGACCTCAAGTGATTCACCTGCCTCGGCCTCCCAAAGTGCTGGGATTACAGGTATGAGCCACCATGCCCGCCCAGAAGACAATATTATTGAGATGAAAGTAATACCTAAAGTGATCTACACCTTCAATGCAATCTGCAGTTCTTATCAAATTCCCATAACACTTATGAGGTTATTGTTGCAAAATAGAAAACCCTATCTTAAAAATCATAGGAATACAAGGGACTACACATATCCAAAACAATTATGAAAAAGGATAATAAATTTGGAAGTCTCACACTTCCTGATTTCAAAACTTACTATAAAGCTACGGCAATCAAAAGAGTGATATACTGGCATAAAGCAGACATGCAGACCAATGGTAGAGAATTGAGAGACTGGAATTAAATCCTTGCTATATGGTGAAATAACTTTCAGCAAAGTTGCCAATACTATTTCCTGGGAAAAAGGCAGTCTTTTCCAAAAACAGTGCTTCCACAAAAATACAGTCTTTTCCACAAACCAGATATTCACGTCAAAAGAATGAAGTTGAATCTTTACCTTACATTATATACGGAAATTAAAATGGACCAAATACCTACATATAAGACCTAAAACCATAAAATCTCTGAGGGAAAAACAGGGAAAAGGCTTCATGACGTTGAAGTTAGCAATTATTTTTGGGGTATGACTCCCAAAGCACAGACAACAAAAGAAAAAAATAGATAAGTTGGACTTCATCAAAATTAAAAACTTTTGTCATCAAAAGACAGTATCAGAGAGTGAAAGCACAACCCAGAGAGTGGGACAAAATATTTGCAAATCACATATCTGATAAGGGCTTAATGTCTAGAATACACAAGGAAGTTTTATTAATTAACAAAAAACTCAACTTCATTTAAAAATGGGCAAGTGATTTGAATAGACATTTTTCCAGAGGAGATACACAAATTGCTAATTTGCCCTAAAAAAGATACTTAGTATCATTAGCCGTTAGAGAAATGCAAATGAAAATCACAATAAGATATCACTTCATAGCCATTAGGATGACTCTCATTATAAAAACAGAAAATAAGGAGCATTGGCAAGGATGTAGATAAATAGGAACTTTTGTAAATTGTTCCTGGGAATGTAAAACAGTGTCACTGCTGTGGAAAACGGTTTGGTTGTTTATCAAAAAGTTCAACATGGAGTTCTCATATGATCTATTTACTTCAAGGTGTAGACCCAAAAGAATTGAAAACAGGTACTTGTGCATCAGTGTTTGTAACAGCATTATTCACATTAGCCAAAAGTTGTAAACAACCCAATGTCCATCAGCAAATGAATGCAGAAACAAAAGATGGTATATACATACACTGAAATATTATCTCACTTTAAAAATGAATCATGTTCTGAAACATGCTACGAAGTGAATGAATCTTGAAATATTATGATAATAAGGAAATAAGGCAAATACAAAAGATAAATATTGTATCTTATTGTACCACTTATATGAGGTTCCTAGAATAAGTAGACAGAAAGTAGATCAGAGGTTCCCAAGGCCTGGCAATAGAGGCTAATAGGGAGCTAGTGCTTAATGAGTAGAGTTTTAGTTTAGAAAGGTGAAGACTTTCTGAAGATAGATGGTGGTGATGGTTGCACAACAAAGTGATTGTGG